GAAAATGGCGTCATCCAGTTTAATAGATTTAATTTATAGAAACCATATTTATGTGCCTCTTCTAATGTCTTGGTTTCAAAATCCCTGGACAATTTCTTCACTCAAAAAGAATGAAGTTAAAGAGTTATCCTGCATGTACAGGTTGAGCTGGTTTTGATCTTTTTTTGAACAGCCTGTCAATGTTAATCTGCTCAAATCTTCACATGGCTTTTTAGTTCAGAGAAAAAAGTCAGGCTAAGCTGAAAACACAGCATAGCTGCTTTGAGTAGGGAAGGAATATAGAAGGAAGAAGCAAACAAATATCTTTGCATGGGCTTGGTCTTGCATTAACTAAAATTACCTGCTGTCAGATTCAAGTTGTTTTAATGTCCGTGACTCCTTAAAATCCAGTTTCAACAGGGATAAAATCTAAGTGACATGTGTTTGTCTTGTTGCAACTAGCCAAACACCCCACCTTACTTAAGGTTTTAAAAAAGGATGCATTTTCTGTGGGGTTTTTTCCACTAGGACAGAGTAAAAAATTCTTAGCTGCTTTTCTTAGAAAGTAATTTCAGTTCAGAGACATGGAAAGATATGAAAAAGAGCTCCTACAAATGGAGTGGGTGTTTTACAAGCCTACATGAAGTTAAAATCATCTGCACTGGCACAAATTCACACTGATCATCTTTAAGTATCTCACTTGTGTGGCTAGGACTTTAGGTTTCATCCGTGATCTGCAGCGTCTTTGAAATGGAGCCCAGGCTTTCTGAGGTTATGTTGAGACTTCAGGCCTGTGCTCGTCCTCAGTCATGCAGCTCCAGTGACCACTGCTGAGACCCGCCATGGCTCCTGTCTATCAGGGAAAGCACATCCTGATTTTCTTTCCATGGAGAAAGGTGCTGGGCAGAGGGTGGTATTGCTGCAGTCTCCCTGTAAGAAGACATGGCTGGAGGACACCACTGCGTCCTGCCGCTGGGGTGTGTTGGGAGGTCTCAATTTTGCCCGTCTGAGCCACCACTGACCTTTCTAAAGAGGTTGTGCCCTTAATTTGGGCACCTCAGTAGAATAACTGATAAACGGCCCTGGATCCATAAACACATCATCACAAAGGCTGATTCTGCTGTTGGGTGGGGAGGCAATAGCAGGTATTTGGCACCTCGTTATCAGCATCTGACACAGTGCCACACTTGGTGGCAAATGTTAGGACATGACAGAGGCTGCCAGACTGTGTCCACCCCTCAGTCCCTGCTATAACCAACCCTGCCAACTTTGTTTTAATAAAGTCGTAACCTCAAGTGGCTTGTGCTGCTGGGATGGATTTTCTACAAGGCATCAGTTCACAGACCACTACCACAGGGACACTTCTGGCCAAGAGGAGCAGAGAACACAGTATTTCTAAAAAGTACTGAAAAGAGTCAAAAGCTCACCATTACTGAGCTACCTAATGGGGAAATGAGGTTGCTTGACACTTCAGCCACAACTAATTTGTGCTGAACAGTTTCTTGGGAGGAAAAGTGGGGGCAATTTGGCCATTATTGCCCAAAACAACTAATTTAAGGAACAGAAATAAACAATGGATCTACATTAGCTTTCTTTAAGTTAGAGCAAGTGAAACTGGAGACTAATTTTTAATGATTAAAGTAAATCTAAAAACACTAATCATTAAATTTTCAAGTTTCTATTTCCTATGAGGATGTGGGTGACAAGAAAGCAATGTGTGTCTCAGTGTTGCTGAAATTAATTGGTGTGTGCCTTTAAATATTAAGGCATCACTGGGTCTCTCAATACAAATTTAGACTGATTTGACTTTTCACAGTAATTACGAAAAGTTTGGTCACCATGTGAAAAAAAAGGGGGAGGCATATGCAAATGATATACGATTGGTAAACCAAGTAAGAAACCAGGTAAGAAAGCAGCATATAAATAGAGAAATTACTGTTTCTATTTAATGAAAAACTGTCTGACCCAGTAGTTATGTAATGTCTCAGCATTACTTATTTGTTTACTTAAATATTTTTCAGCTGCCTTCAAGGAAGTTTAGATGACTGAGAAATTACTTTGGGCTGCTTCTCCTGTGCATGTGTGTCGAACCCATGGCCTTGGCAAGGACCTGCTGTGGTCACTGTTGGCAGCTCCGTCTTGGCTCTGTGGGGAGCAAGCCGGACCGCGCTGCCCAGGGAGCTGCTTTCTTAGGTGTAAATGCTAGTTATGGTCAAAGGGTAGTCTTTCCTCTGATTTGCTCAAAATGGTATTGTTATTGCTTTTTAGCTTCTCACTTGTGGTTTGGGAAAAGGAAGATGAACCAGCTTTCTTCTTGTGAGGATACAAATTCACCTCTTGCAATATTAAGGTGCTATATTTAGTTACCTTAAGAAACAAGACGTAACAGAAAGTATTCTCATGTGCTCATTTCCCATTTCACATACTGTTTTACTCCCAGTGAGAATAAACCTCACTCGGGTTTCTATCCCTAGTGACAATGTCTAAGTGAGCTTTCGGTATCACCTCTTTCCTCTTAATATTCACTGCACCGGCCATAGATAAGAGTGTTTCCTTATCTGTATTTGTCCACATGTACACTGCAGGGATTTAGGACATGAAAGAGATTTTTCAGACCTGCCCAACGGAAAGTTAAAGGGTAGCTCTCCAGAGCACCCAGTAGCTGACTGGTAAGCACAGCTGTCCAGAAAAGCAAGCTTTGACTAACCACCTGAGCTTCCACTGTGTACATACTGAGAACGCTTCAGAAAAGCCAGGACAAAGTCCTCATGTTGAAATAATATTTCTTTACTGAATTATGAAGAGTATTTTATACCTGTAAACTTAAAAGACTCTGCTAAACTCAATGTAATTTGAGAAATGCCTACTTTTGTTTATTAGTATAATATTTACCAGCTAGGAAACTAAATAAAATGCATCAGTTCATGTACATGTCTATTCAGTTACACTTTCAGATTTTATTTCACAGCACAGTGCTTTAGGATTTGTATATCATCATCCTTGAGAAATTATTAAATTCAGTTGAAACTCAGAAAAACCATCTGCTTACATATTACGTTCTGTAACTCATTAATCAAAGTTAATTTCAAAATCTGGTATCCTACTATACCTTTTAAATTCATCCCACACAGCATCATTGACTGCATGCAAAACGAACAACATAAATTAAAAACAAAATTAAAAATAAGTCAGCAATTTGTCAGTTGCTTCTAGGACTGCAAAACTGAGCTGGTATGAAACAGCCATATTTAGAGAATCTCTGTACAGCTGGGCATCTGCCATGTGCTTGACGTAAGGTAGCTGTCATGCTTGCAAAAGAATCTTTATTATGATTGTATATACTGATACAAATGTTATTACTTTTAGGCATAAAGGAAAACCAAAAGCGTGCACAGAAAAATGCTTGGCAGCACATGCCAGCATGGTAGCATGGCTCAGCTGTAGCGCTGGCCTTCCCTGCACTAGAAACCACCTGGCCATACCCCACGGAAAGCGGCAAACATCAAGTATTCAACAAACCTCGGACTTGTTGAAATAAGCATGTGTTGAAGACAAAGGATTATAATTAGAGGGAAAGGAAAGTCCGGAGAATAAAAGCACTGTCAGAACACAGCATTTAGTATTATAGCACAGGCACCATGAACATATGTGCCAAGCAGGCTTAGCTCCCCTGCCCTTTGCTCAGCCAGGTTATGAAGTAATACTGCACAAACAATTGCATGACATTATCTCTATTTAAGTAAGCAAGAACAAGGCTGGAGAGTTCTGTATAAATACTTGTCACTGACTGATCTCTTATACCTTGAAGACGCATTTCTAGAAAGGAAAAAACCCAGAATTGTTCTTCCCATTTTATCTTCAAAAAAGCTGAAAGTGCAATTTTATTAGGCTTTCACAAACCTCAGAGAAACTTTTTCGAATGCCTGTAAAGGTGGAGGAGTAAATAAATGGTTTGTCGAAGCAATGGAGCAATAAGAGGGCTTCATGACACATGCGTATTTTTAAATAAAAAAGAAAAACCTGGTTTTTTTTTTCTAATTTGGTTTAATTCCATAACTAGAAACTCATTAGGATTTTGTACTCACCTCAACTTTGTATCAGAGAAAAATAGTTTTGTTTGTGTAACATTGTTAGGCAAGATAGAAACTATACAAATTTAAGAAATAAGAATTTATTTATGCCAAGTTAATGGGAATTAGCAATGACAATTTAAGAAGGATTATGTGATGTACTGAAGGTTTCAACCAAGTAAAAATAGAAAAGCTATACAAGCCACTAAAATTGCACAATGTGCAACTTTCAGTTCCAGGAAGATTGTGTTTGCAATCCTTGACTACAAATGGAGTTGCTTTCTGACTGTTGAGATAGATCTTCTGGGACCATAATTAATATAGACAATCCCAAGCATTCAAAATGAGTCAGACACTTAAAAATATGATATGATATTGGGCTTAAAGTTGTGAAATTTTTATAAAATCAGCTAGTGATTGCCTTCCAGTTTTTGAGCTGGGTTTACAATTTCAAAGTATGTTCCAGCACCATGAGGCATTTTAAAAACTGGAAATAAATATTACTGTATAACAAATGTGATGGCAATGGGGCTTTTAAAAGACAAGCAAAATCCCCCATGAATATTGTGAGACACTCACTATGGTCACAAAAGTCAGCAGTGCCTGCTGAAAGTTCCTCATTATGCTAATTTGTTAACTCAAGATGCTTATTAATAACTCATAAAGCTAAAAAAATTCAGGGAAAATAAGGTACTTTCAGGATGTCGTTGGTAATCCTCAACAGTCCCTGAGGGCTTTGACAGCCTTGCAATTCAGATGAGCCTTTGAAAGATAAGAGATGACGTAAGTCATTTTAGTCACCTCCTGGAGCTGACTTCTGCAGGAAGCTCAAGTGCTGCTTTCCAGCCATGCTATTGCAACAGCATCTCCTCAGTGTTATTAATTTAGAAGTGCAGCTCCACCTGGAAGCTCCCGTATATCAGCCAGACAGCCCATGGTGTGGAGTAATACCTGTGTTGAGGGATGCTTCCAGAGCAGGGGCTTCGCTAGAATCTAGGTCCAGAGGGGGCAGGAGGGAGTCGAGGATGGAGGTATCCCTGTGCCATCGCTCTGCCGCTCCCACCTGTGGCTGACTGGGGTCCCTGTTGCTCCCTAGAGAAAAGATAAGGCTCAGGGGCTGCATGCAAGGACAAAGAGAGAAGCAGCATGTTCTGCTTGCTCTGCCTGCCAGCCAGAAGGCTTTATCTATGTGTCCCCAAAGCCATGATAGAGCATTGTAAACTAAAGAATGCGGAATACACTAGGTGACATATTTTCAGGTTTGATACAGTATACCAACCCATGTGGTAAAACCTCTTGCTTTTGCTGCCTCCTAAGAGCTGGTACCACAGGTCACAGCTTTCTGCTTTAATTTAGCAATCAACACCAAGTAACCCACTCCGTTCAAAAAAGCAGCCATATGAGGGACGAAAAAAAGCTGGTAGGTAATGTGCTAGGTTCCTCGTTGAGAAGATTAGTTTTGGAGAATATGTGCAATGCCACGCAATGCAATGAAATGACAGCACAGAAGTAATATGTCCAGCTTGGCCCATCTGTTAGTCACACTACATGTAGTCTGCATTCTGGCTGCTCAGTGAAAATGCGTGACTCCCTTGGCTGGTCAAGCTGGGCTATCCACAGCACAGCAGCAAGAGCTGCAGAGCATTTTCTTTCACAGCCCACAGAGTAAACAGAAGAAGGCTGGGGACATGGTAACAACTGCACATACCATGGAGATATAGCAGACATGGAGGGAACTGGAGCATTGCTTATTGGAAAGCTGGGTACGTTGCAAGGCACATGGGGAACAGAGCCATAACACTGAAGGAAGGCAAGGTCTCATACTGATAAAAGCTCATTTATGCATTTGATTAGTTTGCATAAATTAACAGAGTTTGAATCCATCTTGTGGATTCCCTGAATTCTGCCCTGGCATCCTCAACTGAGCAGCATGGTTATGGTATAAGCAGTTAGGTAGGTCAAACCCACTTCAGAGACAGCTAGCATGTAAAGATTGGAGCCAAAGGATCTGAAGAGATATGTGTCCAGGCAGGCTTAATGGCAGAACTGGCAGTGCCAAAGACCTTCTGAGGACAGAGAGACCATGGAATTCTTCCCTTTGGCAAAACATTTGGTCAGGGAGAACATGGTGTTCTGGAAAGCAGCAATCTTTTTAAAGAAAACAGTAACAATTTTGTTCAACTCTACACACTGACTGTTATTTAAATCATTTATATAGTTCTCCTAATAACAATGTAGTCCTACTAGGGACATTACCATTTAAGGAATAAAGCTCGACTACTATGGCGTAGAAGTTAATAGCAGTTAGAACAGTGTATGGCACACTTCCCCATTATTTCTTAACAAACTGTATGTGATTTCTTGCAAAATAGTAAATACCAACTTGGTATTTGCATATTTCTTTTTTTTTTTTTTTGTCCTTGCTCTGAATTGAAAGAGTAGAATTTATTGCATGATGAACAATACCAGGATAGATACAATGATGAAATCTGAAACAGCTGTAATCACAGATAAATTGGCTCAAACACATTAAGTAAAACTAGACTTTATATGGGGGGAAAAAAATCCACCTTATTTTATTGGTAAACACTTTAATTTTCTTGAAAACTTGTTTAGGAAACTTCAGTCTTGAGCAGCTAGTTCTAGGAGAAAACTGAGCAATTATCCGTCTATTTATCTACTTATTAATAATAGAAAACATTTCCTACAAGCTCAAGAATTCAGGTTATCACACTGTTATACCAACAAGCTCTGAATCTTGTCTGGCATTACAGTTCACAAGCAGCAAAGTAGAGACAATTTGTATGAGGCACATGGGATTTACAGGAATTAATTCTTTGACCTACAAAAAAGTTTTTCCTTCTAAAAAGTCATTGAGATTTTTATCATTAATTTTAACAGAGGAAGGATCAAGACTATTGTCTTTAAAAAGTTAATGTGCAACTTATTAGAGCTAATGAAAGAAAGTGAGCCATGTGTTTGCAAAGACCTTCATTTTCAGTGCATTCACAAAATGTAAGAAAGATAGTATAGTTTTCTGACAATCAGCTCATACTAATTAATAAGATTACAAAAAAGGTAGGCCAAGACCTACCTTTATGACCTTAATGGGTCAAATTCTGACTTAATCTGTCTCGACTCATCTGAATTTAAAGAAATTACTCCGGATTTTCATCAGTCTAAATGAGATTAAAATCTGATGTACTGACTGAAAAAAAAAAAGGTGGCAGTGTTCATAATTTGCAGAAACGTTGTTCACCCGAAACATGGTTTAAGAATAGGCCCTTAAGAACACTTTCTCTCCACCATATGTTGTTTTAAAGTCATCTTACAAATTCAGTGACTACACCTAAATCTTCCCAAGTAGTAGTTCATCCTGGAACACATTTAAGACTTGAGTAATTTAGATCTTCTGATGTTTTACCAAGCAGCAGGCTAGGTATATGTTTTACACTACTCTGGAAAACCTTTTTCTTCATTAAACTTTAAAATATCTTGAAATAATATTTAAACGTACATATCTTATTCTTGATTTTAACTAAGTGGTGCTACACTAAATATGGTGAGCAAAAGAAACACTCAGAATATCACTGTATTTAATTAAAATACATTAAAATACTCTCCATTATGTGACATTGCGTAAGCCCCTGAGATTTTGCCACTGACTTGAATAAAGCTGGTGTTTCACTCACAGCCATCACACAGGCATATCAAAAACGCTTCTAACCCATTAGGCTAATAAAAGAAGCAGCTTGCAGACTTTGCCTCACTAGCATTTTTAACTTAACAGGGCTACAGTAATATCACAGCCCTTTGCATAGCAGGATGCCTCTAGGGCTGTTTTTTCCATGCCAGTTGTTGGGAGTTTTAATCACATGCACTACATAGAATAATTTTTGTTTGTTACTCTCAGCACAGTAATATGAAGCTATCGATTCTCTGTAGGATTTTTTTGGAGAAAGCATCTCAGCTTTCCTTGTTCACATACATATGCCCCTTTTCCCCCGCTCCCCCATTCCATGGATCAGGGAACCAAATTTAGCAGAAGAAAAGCTGAAGTTTTCTTTGGCATGTTGGCCAGCATATCCTAATGATGGCTTTGATGAAAGTCCCTATATTCCCATTGATCTACAAGCCAGGAGCCTCAAAGGAACAGCCAGGGAAAGCAAAGAGCTTTTGAATCTGTTTTTCACTCCCTTGCAGCTCCAAGCTCCAGCTGTCACACTGGGGATGGCACAGTGAAGGGCAAGTCCTTCTGTACAGACAGTTTGGTGGGGCACTGTGAAGGTCTGCTATGCGCAGTTAGTCAGAATAGTCAGAATAGGACACAAACTGAAGCTGATTTTGGCAAGCACCCTGTGTTCCACCAGCATCACTGGAGAAGGCTTCAGGATGCTTAAAGGGGCACCTACTTCCCATGACCCACAGGCCACTAGAGGGGCAGGCGGCATTCGACAATTACTACTATCAAATCAACGATTTGACGATGACTACTACTGTCAGAAATGTTTGTTAGAATTACAGTTCCATTTAATTTATTGACAGGGCCCTGAGGGTCCAGGACCCCATGACAGCCCCTGTGGGACCATCAGCTCCTCTCCCAGCAGGGCCAGTCTCCATGTCCCCACAGCCCTGCCCTGCCTGGCTGTGGGTCTTACTGAGCTGGACCCACTTTTGGGCCCACGGCCCATCCTGACCTTGTCCAATCCCCAGAGAAGTGCCTGATGCTTAGGGCTGGGGTTGTCCCCAGCCCACTAGTCCTCATGGAGATAACTCCTTCTTCCAGCTCCCAGGGAGCAGGCACCCATGCAGTGCCCTGACATGTATTTCCTTAATTGTGTATTTAATTGCTTTTAATCATGGTTGGGATTCCCCATTGCTCTTGCTTAAGAAATTGCTTGTACTTTAAAAGCTTTTCATTTTCATTGATCTTCATATATACATGTATCAGCTTAAATTTGTGCTTCTCTTTTCCTACAGCATATTACAAAAGCTCCTTTTTCCTTATGCTACAGCATAGAGAAAAACTAAACAAGAATTCATTGTGTTTATTCATGAGAAAAGAAGGACTGTACAAAAACATATGCCTCCCCCCAGTCCAGCAATGTCTCTCCTCCACACTAACAAAAGCATCCTACACTCCAGTGATCATGACTCCAAGCGCTGGGATGCAGGCTCAGCATGACTGGAAAAAAGTTTTTGTATGAAGCTCCCCTGGAAACTTGATTATACTGTCTACTCAGTAAGGTTTAGAAATCAAACAGCCCCCAAAAGACTTCTGTCATAGTCTTAACAGCTGGAAGTTAAGAGTTTCCTGGAGTTCTCCAAAAAGCTATGGCATAGGAGACCAGAAGATACTGGATTTGACCAAATATCCTTTTCTCGCTGGTCCTAGGAGGCAGTGGGATTGGTTGTCCCCCAGTTTCTTCTGCTTTCCAGTGGCTCGCACTGACAGGAGCATTCTGCAAAGCCAGGGAACCAACCCCCTGAACTCTGCTGTTGAAATACAAAGACAACACTAGACGATCTTAAGGTCCTTTCAAACCCAACCCATTCTATGAATCTATGATTCTATTTGAACACAACTGTGGCTTCTCCAGGAAAGACTCATCACATACTATACTGTTCATAGGAATTTTCTGTCATTGTTAAACAAACTTTCAAATTGCCAGCCCCATTTATTTGATTATTACTGTCACAAATCTAATCAACTGCATAGTATGCTGGCTGAAGGTCTCAACCAAATCATAATTTCTTTGATGTCCCAGCTTTTGATTAAAACCCTAAACCCTTTCATACTGCAGTTTCAATCAACAACTTCGAAAAAACCTCATTATTTCTAATAAAGATCGCCTTAGAAGATTTCAAAACCTTTACTCAACCTCTTAAGTATTTGGCACAGCATATCCTTGCAAGCCTGAAATTATTACTCTGTTTGCTACAGTTTCTTTTATTATGCTATTATACAAGACTGTTGTACATTGTCATTTGTAGCACATTACCTCAGACTTGTTCAGGTACAAAGATGGACTTCTAGGATGATCAGGGGAATAGAGAACCTATCATATGAGAAGGCAGAATGAAGAGCTTGG